CCATCCATCCATCCATCCATCCATCCATCCATTAATCCATCCATCCACAATCCACCCATGAATCCATCCACCATCCATCCATCCATCCATCCATCCATCCATCATCAATCATCCATCCATCCATCCATCCATCCATCCATCCATCCATCATCCATCCATTAATCATCCATCCATCCATCCATCCATCTACCCATTCATCCATCCACCCATTCATCCATTAATCCATCCATCCACCGTCCATCCATCCATTAATCTATCCATCCATCCACTATCCATCCATCCATTAATCTATCCATCCACCCATCCATCCATCCATCCATCCATCCATCCACCCATTTATCCATCCATCCACAATCCACCCATGAATCCATCCACCATCCATCCATCCATCCATTAATCCATTAATCCATCATCCATCCATCATCCATCCATCCATTAATCCATCCATCCATCCATCCACCCATCCACCCACCCATCCATCCATCCATCCATCCACCATCCATCCATTAATCCATCCATCCACAATCCACCCATGAATCCATCCACCATCCATCCATCCATCCATCCATCCATCCATTAATCCATTAATCCATCATCCATCCATCCATCATCCATCCATTAATCATCCATCCATCCATCCATCCATCCATCCATCCATCCATCCATCCACCCATTCATCCATTAATCCATCCGTCCATCTATCCATCCACCCACTCATGCATCCATCTACCCATTCATCCATCCACCCATTCATCCATTAATCCATCCATCCACCGTCCATCCATCCATTAATCTATCCATCCACCCATCCATCCATCCATCCATCCATCCATCCATCCATCCATCCATCCACCCATTTATCCATCCACCCATTCATCCATTAATCCATCCATCCACCCATCCATCCAAACAACAACAGTGAGCGATCACTGAACACAAAGTGATGCCGTAAACCTCACAGAGCGTTCATCTGGAGGAGGAAAGTTCAATGAAAGGCAGAAAGTGATGCACAAACAAGAGCAAACAGCTGGGTTCACTCTCTGGAAGACCCAATGGAAAAATGAGTCAGACTCCTCATACCCACTCGACATATTTCAGACCATGAGCTGATTTAACGGAGACGTATTACCGTCAGATCAGTGTGACGGTCACAGAGCTCCGTCAGTCTCATTAAAAGCAACTGCTGCTGGGAAATGACGGAGAAACTCAGCAAACTCTGCTAATTACTACAGAAAAACAACATTTAGCTCACCTGCAGGGAGCTCACAGGGTGGAGGACGAGTTACTCCATCACAATAAAAGCTCTTCACATAGATTATATATTACACAGCTCACCAACAGAAGATTAATCCGACTGCAATCACCAAATAAATGCATTTTAAGCAGAAACAGAACATAGTTCTTGTTTGTAGCCTCTAAAATATTCAGATTTGATGCCTTTCGTTGCTACATTTGGTAGTCAACTGAATATTTCCAGGTTTTAGGTTTTTAGTCAGACAAAAAAAGACATTTGAAGACGTCAAACTGGAATATTTTACCCTGTTTTAGACGACTAACATACAGAACAATTGAGAAAAGAATCAGCAGACCAGCATGTATGAAAAATAATTAAAGTTCTTAAGTTTAATGTGACCCTTGAGTAAATGTAGTAACTATAATGCTGTGTAGGATTTCTATAATGAAAACACAACTAAAATGGAAACCTGTGAGTTAAATACTGGAGTCCACTGCAGTACTACACTGAAGTACATTTTAAAGTACTTGTCCTGAGTGTATCTTTTTATTCTACTGACTTTTTAACATTATTTTACTGTAGTGGAGTATTTTCTACAGTGTAGTATTACTTGTACTCATTTTTTTCTACTACTGGTTACTAGTTACTTTACTACAAGGGACATTTACACACAAAACATCATCTGATTATTCTATAAAACACATTATAGAGCTTTTAAAAAGCTTGTTTTAAAAAATCCAATATATAAAAGCTGTTTACAGCACTGCCATTTACACCTTTACATGAGACACTTTAAGTACATTCTGTTTATTATTCTTGCCTACTTTCACTTCAGTAACTTTTTAAAAAAGTAATTTTACTCCGTTTACTGAGCCCTAGTTACTAATGTAACTAATGTAACTAATGTAACTAGGCCGGCCATTTTTGCTGTGCATGTTGCAAATATTACTGACATACATTAAAGGGGCTTAAAATTAGCTCCACATACAACATTTTAGTTGTACTTCTGATGCAGAACAATCTAATATATAATGGTGGGTTCATTTCTCTATTTCAACGTACTCTGAAGTACTTACACTGTATGCGAGTATTTCTACTGTACTTTTTACTCCACTCTACTCAGTAACTCCCACTACTGTGCAGGTTTAGCTGTCAACACTAAACTAACTTGTGGTGTAATATTACTGACTGAGATAAACTTTATTGATCCAGAGGAGGAGCAGCATTGATAACGTTATCGCGTCTGTTCCATGAACACATTCATGCCTCAGTAGTTATGATGATGCAGTAACGTGGACGATTCTGACATAAGCCACTCTGCACTATGAGGACTTTTGGTACTTTAACTAGATTTTACTACAGATTACAGACATAAACTGTTTTTTCATGCTCTTTTGCATTTTAGGATTTTAGGATATTTTGCTTTCATACAACATAAAACATGTAAAACACACACCTGAGTGTTTATGTTCCTGCATCTGGTCCGTGTGCAGCTGCAGACTTCAGTTAAGACACGACTCTGAAAGGCTGCTTCATCAAAATCACTTTTCACATTCTGAGTGAGAAACCTGAACCTCAGCAGCACTTATTGTTATAATTATAATAATTATTATAATACTAATTATTAATAAAATCAGCTTGTTTCTTTGGATGCTGACATTGTTTTGAGTTATAGAGTTATAAAAAGACACAACAAATCCCCAGAATACAACAAGAATACTGAAGCTGGGTTCATGCAGTGTCCAGATTCATGTTTCAGAAGTTAAAGCAGATCAGCGCTT